AAAAAAAAAAAAAAAAAAAAAAAAAAAAAAAGAAAAAAAAGAAAAATCTTTCAATACTCCAATAATTAAAATAAGAAAACTTCTTCAAGAAATATTTGAAATATTTATAACAAATTTTCCAATTTCTCTAAACCAATAGTCCTCAATAGTATTTTACCTAAAATTTCAAAATTGTTATCCGATTGATCTTGATCCGAGATTAAATATTATTATCTTTAACTTTGATAAAATTTTATTTAATTGCTGAAAAAATAATACGACAAAATAATATAAAACGTACCTTCAGATTTGTATGTTGCAATTGGATCTATTGGAAATGAACAACCAAGATTAATCTCGGATGTAGATCCAGTCCCAACTAATTTTGCCACGAATATAACATCCATGATTTCTATATCCGATCTGTACATCAATCTAGCGTGTCCTTCGGCTAATCTAAAGAAAATTTCTATGCTAAATGTTTTAAAAACATCTTTATATATCTTGTATTTCTTTACCGAATAAGGCTGTCCAAAAGTCGAACTGTTGTTCTCTCTTCTCTCCTATTTGGATGACACCTGTGATAAAGATATGTCGCTCGAAGTATCATTTCCGCTTCCTTCGTTAATTTTGGTTGCAGGGAATGTACATATGCTAAATATTCTCGCAAAGTATCCTCTTTCCACAAGCTTTCGCTTTTTAAAAGTTCCATATGATTTTTCGAGTCTCTATAAAATTAAAAATTATTTCGATTGAACATTTAAAATGTTACGAATTATCAATAATTGATAGTTAATTTTGATTACGTCTGAGCATTGTTCTCTTTAGTCTCGTAAGCAGCCTTCAAAATATGTTCCGAAGTCAGCCTATCCCATTCTGAATTCCTATTGTCCTTCAAAAGCAGGATTAAATCGAAACGTGATAAAAGAGGATCCCCTAAATTCGTTTCCCATTCTTCATCATCGGTGAATTGACCACCAGATGGATTAATAGCTGCAACCACTGAACACCTTGAGTTTAACGTGCTAACTAATCCAGCTTTGGCGATTGATATTGTTTGTTGTTCCATAGCTTCGTGAACGGATGTTCTATCCTGTGAGCTCATGGTTGTGAACTCATCCACGCAACAGACGCCTCCATCTGCTAATACAAGGGCCCCAGCTTCTAGATGCCATCCTTCTGAATCCTAACATGCATGTGTATGAAAAAAATTATACAGATATTAATTATTAAGGACAGAAGATAGTATGCGTCTACTTACTCTAACAGCGGTTGCAGTGAGTCCAGCTGCAGTCGATCCCACACCGGTCGTAAGAACCGATCTTATAGCCAAACGAGATGCTGCACGAAGCAATTGGGATTTACCAGTTCCAGGATCGCCGACCAAAAGAAGATGAGGTTCTCCACGCACACGTGTTCCTTTTTTTTTTATTTATAATGACACATTGTATTTTATATAGAGAATAAAAAGAATGATAATAAAGAATAATTACCGCTTTCGTTACATTTTGGTACGCCACCGGCTAAAACGACAGCCAGTGCTAATTTTGCAGTGTACATTCCATAAAGCTTAAAATAATTTGTACGTAAAATGATTGCATTTTTTATTATTAATTTATGTCGATATTTTCTTTTATAATTATATACAATAAATCTATACCTTTGGGCAAAGAGATGCAAGAATATTATCTCTACCAAGTAAAGGATTATCGCTATATTTTTCCCAATAATTTCTAAAAACATCTCTCATTTCTTGAGAAGAAGATGTGTCGGATATTTTACGCCGTACTGTAATGCTATTACCTAACATCATGGTTGTCGCTTCTAAACGTTCACCAACTTCTAAGGGACCCCAAATTCTTATCACAACACCACTAAAGATGTATAACATAAGATTATAATTAGAAAAGATAGTTTGTACACATATAAAGGATAATAATTATTAATACCTAATCTCAACATGATCTCCTGGTCTACATTTATCAACTAAATCATCCAATAGAATAATCCTAAGTTCCTCAGTCAAGGATTTGTTTGTATCTATTTTACACTTTTCCTAAAAAAAAAAAAAAAAGAAAAAATATTGAAAAATCAATGAAGTGTTAACAAGTGAAAGATAAATATCGAATTAAATTGATAATATACTTGTATTCCTATTTCCTGACAATCTGAAGAATCTTCCAAATCAAAATCAGTTAAAACTTTAAGTTTTGTAGCATTACACTCTTCACAATCTGTAATATCTGCAAAAGTTTGTCTCTCCCATTCATACTAAAAATAGATATCGTGTAAATTATCTGCTAATATAAATTACAAAATGTTTATAACATGTTCAACTAACCTTAGCCAAAGTAATATGTTTGCACTTTCTACAATAATATCTTTGAACAGATTTTAACACTTTTGGTTGGGAGATCCTAACGATAATGCCACTCGTTGAAACAAGCTGTCCAATTTGCCCTTGATCTAATGTAACTGGCACAGCAGTAACTCTAATACGTACCTATCTCAAATATATTTTAGAAATGTAATTATAAAAATATTATAAATTTTAATAACAAAACGAGATCTTGGCATCACCTTCTTTTTAACAATTTGTTTCGGTTTGGCTATTTCTTCCTGAGCTTTTATCGCTGCTTCGTCGCACAATGGTAAGTAATATCTAGGATATTGCAAAATTTTTTGTGCAACGTCGGCATCATCCTCGAACAATGATACAAAACTGTAAAAAAAAAATCCTTCGTACAATATCTCGTATTATACGAAAAAAAATGCAAATGCAAAATACTCACTTAACATAAATCGAATAATAACAATTGATATCAATATTATCCAAAACTTCCTCCAATTCTATTTGGTGATTTTTCAATAAATACTCTTTTAACATTTTAAGTGTTTATTTGCGGAGCGCAAGAATTGAGGTTATAGACACATCCACTATTCACGCTGTCGCACGTGCTACTGACTTCCCGCCGAAACTGTCAAAGTCACGTGCTCCCCACTCAGCATATGTGTTCATTTAATTTTTAATGGCTGCTGTTCGACCATGATAATCATAATTATCGTACCACATTTGCAATTATTTATTAATTTATAATTTATATATTTATTTATTAATTTATATTAATTTATATCAAGAGAAATAATACTAATTATATTTTATTTAATCAATTATATTTTTTCCAGTGATAAAACATCAAAATGGAGTCACTGAGGGACCTCACAACGTAACATATTTATATTATGAATAAAGTTTATGTTAAATAAAATTAAATGAATAAAAAAATATGTAAAAATATGTATAAAATAATGTAAGAAAATAAATCTTTATAAAAAAATTTTTTTCGTTTATCATTTCATCTTAACATGCCAGGAGATAGAAGCAATATCCATTATTCTATAAAATATATATGTAAAATTTAAATTGTCCTCCGAGGGAATATTTAACGGGAAATTACGTAGCGCTGATGTAGTTGTGATCCAAACGACTGAAATTTAACGTTCAATGAATTCCTTTACCGTTAGCGTCGATTTAATAAAAGAGCCATATCGATTACTTGTCGTGAAACCGCATTGACAGTTCATCCATTAATCGATTTTCGCGTCTTCCTATCCATCTCGTAATTCTGTTCTCGTGGTTTCGCACGGAACCCTGCGGTAAAACTTGTCCCGCAACAGTGAAAACCTTTTCGGTGTCTACTTTTCATCGAAAAAAATCCTCGACGCGATTCCATTAATCGCGCGTTTAAAACAGAAGTGTCTCTAAATAAAGCGTGCCTCCACGAAAGCGAAAAAACGTCCTCTCCTTCTTCGATATCGAATAAAATAATACACGCATATGCCGTGTCGTTTCTTTCCTCCAATTTCTAATCGTTCTCTATTCCAAAATCTAGATACGAAATCTAGATACGAATTCTATTCGAACGGAATAGAATTTCAAATAATTTTAATCACAGAAGTTCCATTCCCCGAGCACGAGCTGTTTTATCTGAAATGTGGGGATCGTTCGTTCATATTTCAAACGGTGGAGCACGCAGGTTAAACACACGACGCCTGGTATCGGTATTACGATATCATTAGTAACGATTCCCTTTACGACCTCTTCCTAAGTTATAAATTACTCGTTGGATTCGCAGTAGCCGGGGGTGTACGAATCGATGTAATTAGCGTGGTCGTATGCGTGGCGAATACGTATATACGTTCCCGCGCGTTTCTACGTGTAATTGCCCGGTGCACGATCAAAACTTGCCTCGCCTCGAAATAGAATAACTCCCGCGAAACCTTCGAACCAACCCCCTAACAACTTGTACTCGCCTTGAGAAACGCGTACACCATTGCCATGAATCTTTTTGATTCACTGTTACCGAATCTTAATCCCTGTTAACGTTTTCGAAATATCGCGAGATTTTCGAGAGGAGGATGCAAAGTGGATGGAAATAATTTGTCTTTCGAGAAAAATTTTTGCGCGTTCGTTATTTAACATTGAATTTAAGTTCAATATTTTTTTTTTTTTTTTTTTTTTTTTTTCCTAAAACTTGTCCGGCCTTCAGTTATAGAGTACTGAATTTTTCTCGGCGTGAAAACGTCGCGAGACGCAAAAATTTCTCTTGTCAATAGCTCGGACAAGTGTAAATTGTCGACGTCAGGATCGTGTATGTGCGGCGCATTTCCTGCGATTCTATGTAAGTTGTCACTGGCAGGCGAGCCATAGAAGGTTTCCAAGTGAAATTACTACAAATTGTGTATGGTGTTGGTCGCGGCAAAAAATATCTCACTCGAAACGATCGTATCGATTTGATTTTTTTTTTTCCCCCCACAACAACACAAAAAAATAAGGAGAGCGAAAGAGACAAAATGACGAAAATGACGCGATCACAGATGGAAAAAATAGACGATTCGTGGGATCGTGATTAATTAAAAGAGAGGGAAGAACGCGGTTTACACCACTGTCATCATTTATGCTGTCACGCAATATTTTTCATTTTATGGCGTATGTAGTAATTAAAGCGAAGCTGCGAGTATCACGCGCACTTTGCGGAAATTCTGTCGCTCGTTTAACAAGAGTACGTTTTAGTATTTAAGCGCAATGAACGTGCACGGAATGAGCTGCTAATTATTCAGAAACCTCTTAAATTCGAACCTGCCGGAACATGTAAATTCATAATCGCGTGTATAACTTTGGAAATAAACGGTGCGCGGCACGTTTTGCGTCGCCGGGAATAATTCAAAGAGACTACGTTCCCCGTGAAGCTTGATCTTTAATCAGGAAAATTTCGTTGAATTTATCCGAGAGCTTCACGTTTCATAGCAACACAAGCTTTTCGTTAAATCAGTAAATGATGTATAATCTTCGCCGAGGATTACTTTGAAATATGTTTGAATAACGAGGCTTAATGTTCAAAACCGTCCGATTAACTAAATTTACATATCACAAAGGGGGATATAAAATGTATTAATTATTAAATTTTAACCCCCGTCCATTGCCGCCCATGCGTTTAATCATTATAATTTGATTTTTCGATTCATTGAATAACTTTCTCCCGTGTAATTTCACGGGTGGCACGCATTATAGGGAAAATAAAAAGTAGGAGAGGAGAAGTACGAGAAGCAAGAAAGCGTAATCGCGTAAGAGCGAGAACATTCGAGAAAAAGAGGGCGGCGAAAGGGAGGATATACGGGGCTCGAACGATCTTGTCCGCCAAGGATTCCACGTCGTACGAGGTCCTATGGTTTAATAATACATCCTAGGGGCCGTTAATCACCGGGTGAAATATAATTTAATACCTGAGCGAGCGAGGTCCGACCACTAAAAATGACGAACGAGCAGGAAACACGCGGCTAACTCAACCATCCACAAGTTCCTTCAGCGCGGCGCTATAATCACTCTATATTGGTGGATGTGCAATAACGAATAAAGGATATTCCTGAACGGGTCTCTTTCGGGTGTGACGGTGTTCTTCTCACTGAAAGGTGTACGAGCTGGCTGTGCATTACATTCGTCCATTACACCCTGCTCAATAGCTCCAATTCGTTGGATTCCTTCGCACATAAAAGGCTACCACCCCGTTTTTCTCTTCATCCTCTTTTTCTTTTCTTCCTTCCTCTCCTCCTCACCGCCACTATATATCATTCTCTCACCTCCATCCTTCGTCCTCTTCCACACCTTTTACTTTAGGTGATACACGAGTTTTACACGTCGAATCAGTATCGATTGCGTTGATCTAACCAGTTTGATCGACGAAGTCGGAAAGGATCGTTCTCCCTTTTTTTTCTTTCCTTTTTTTTTTTTTTTTTTTTTTCTTTCTATTAGCCGAAAAATCGCATCGACGAACCTCGTCATTGTCCTTCCGTTCCTGTTTCTTTCTCTCGTTCGAGAGAACGACTACCTCGTCCAACCGTGGAAATCGGGTTAATGCCCACGACAATGACCACGATTTCGTCCAATGAAAGCGTTCACGGCCGATTTTCCTTCCGGCGCGGAGGAGCGCTTTTTATCGATACTGACTGCCCGAATTGGCGAACTGGCAATTGCGGGGAGGGGGTGGTTTCGATGTAATGGAACATTTCATGTACAAGGTGTTCACCATCGTTCCGGAATTCTCGTCTCTCAATTCTTATAACGAGTTCTTTTTATCGAATCGTTTATCGTACACTTAATTTTATCGATACATTGTTCAATATCGTTTTGTTACTTTCTAATTTGTACTTAGAGTATGAATGAATAAATAAACCGAAGATTCGAAAATCTTTTTTATTTCTATCAATCTTTAAAATATTACCCTCGATAGGGTAATCCTCCCTTGTCCAATATAATGGAACATTTTTGAAAGAGGGTGGCAAGTTGACTCGTTCTATTTTTTTTTTTTTTTAGCAATAACTATAAATAAAGATATTAGTGTAGTCACGAACGAATCGTGGACTTCCCTTCTTCCAGACTTCCCCAGGTTTCTACATAAATTGCCGAAATATCCATAGAAGCTGTCGAACGTGAGCCACCGCATAGCAGGGGTTCCTTAGACGAGATAATAAAGATATAAGGTAGCGTTTTATAGGCTGACGCTATAGTTAGGTTGGAAAGCGTTTGGTAAATGCCATTAGCGATGGCTACGAATAATGCTCGAACAGATTTAATCGAAATTTGAAATGTTTCCCCACTCGATTTCGTCCTTCCAATTTTAAAACGCATCATTCATTTCTAATAAACAAACGATACTTAACGAAATCGATTCTAATCTCATCTCGCTACATCTCGAAAACGTTTCGAAAGTTATCCTCGATTTCTATTTTAGATCTCCGGAAACCACGAGCTCGATGTTTTCGAGGGACGACACGAGGTCGGCCCATAAATCATTTTTTGATTTCGTAACAACGATATTATCCCGCTCGATTTCGTTCTACGCGGAGAATACTCGTTTCCTTCCCTCCAACTATATCTCAATTTAAGAGAACAAACCGTTGTTAGCGCAACATTTATTCAGGAAAGAAAGTTGATTTATGCGAACGCTCCAATGCTCATCTCTGCGTGGTCAAAACGACTTAATTCCAATGAAATATTGATACACGGAAGAATCCTTATTTGAATTTCCTTCTATATCTAACGACACCGCTCGCGATCAAATTTTGACGAGCTATTAATGCTAAAATAAATTCTCTAAAGAGAATTACTCCTAAGATAAACGTGTGATGGAAGGATTGTGTTGAGCTGATGTCGATGGCTTTCGAGAAAGAAGAAAAAGAAAAATACGGCGATCGGTATCTTTGTTCACAGTTTTAAGATGGAAAGACACGCGATGACCAACGTAACGCCGCCAACGCCGTGTTGAGGATGTAAATATAGAAGAACTTCATTTTCATCCATCTTGCTTTGTCCCTGTCACGGAGGGGGAGCGCGTAGATTCAGCCCGGCATGAAAAATAGACGTTCACCTTTAACGGTACATAATGCTTCGAAACGATGAACAATATTTCCTGCCACGCGGCATCGTTAGAATGAGAATAAATTTCCATTTTGAGCACGACGAACGACACGGTATATAT